CAGGGACCTAAGGTTAGAAATGGCGTCATGACACTTTCCACTGACAAAAAAAAAAAAAAATTAAATTACATAGATAAAGCCCTTCGTAAAGTGTGGGCTGTACTTGTCAGAACAATTTTTTGTATCTCCTTGAGGCATGGACTTCCAGGAATCCCTTCAATTAGTCTACTGCAATCTTTTCCAACCAGTCCTAGGGCTCCAACTACAACAGGGATTGTTGATGTTCCCATATGCCACATTTTCGCGATTTCTATTTCAAGGTCCTTGTACTTTGACAACTTTTTGAATATCTTCAAAGATACATTGCAGTCGGCAGGGACTGCCATATCAATAAGGAGGCACCGTTTTATTATTATTATTATTATTCTTTTAAGGCTTGAGTTACCAGGAATCTCTTCAATGAGTCTATCGTGGCATTTTCCAATCAATCCAACTACAACTAGAATTGTTGATGTCCTCTTGTGCCATATTTTAGAGATTTAGATGTATTATTATTATTATTATTATTATTTTCTTTGATTTCTGGCGTTTACACATTTCTTTCCGGGTACCGCCTAGGGACCTAAGGTTAGAAATGGCATCATGACACTTTCCAGTGACAAAAAAAATTACATAGATAAAGCCCTTCGTAAAGTGTAGGCTGTACTTGTCAGAACATTTTTTTGTATCTTCTTGAAGCATGGACTTCCAGGAATCACTTCAATTAGTCTACTGCAATCTTTTCCAACTAGTCCTAGGGCTCCAACTACAACAGGGATTGTTGATGTTCCCATATTCCACATTTTCGAGATTTCTATTTCAAGGTCCTTGTATTTTGACAGCTTTTTGAATATCTTCAAAGATACATTGCAGTCAACAGGGACTGCCATATCAACAAGGAGGCGCCGTTGTTATTATTATTATATTTCGATTACTGCTATGGTCACATTACCTCCAAATTTTGCAGGAAGACCTAAGACGGGTAGTGGTGTGTTGTTATGGCTAACTCCCATAAAATCACTAGATTCATATGGACAACGTTCTTCTTAGTGTATGGAACTTAACAAAGCAATTTTTCTATTTCTCTTAAATTGGGATTTCTAGGAATTTTTTCAATGTGTTGTTGTGTTCCTTTTTTTATCATTCTTCTTATTATTCTTATTATTATTATTTTATATGATAAATCCCTTCAGGAAGAGAAAGTTCCTCTGACAAGAAGTGAGTTATTAAATTAGGTTCTAAAAAAGGCATGCAAACTTTAATTTAAGTGACTCTCCAAAATCCATAGGGGCCACAATTGTTTGGCCTACAGTGTATAACAACAGTCGAGAAAGTATTTTTAGTGGGTGGGAATATTAAAAAAAATACTGTGCAACGATGTGCAATATGTATTTAACTGTGGAGTGAATATGTGGAAGAGCGTGGGTGTTTCATTGATCAAGGTCATTCATTCTTTTCCTTAGTCGGGCCGAGAATTTTTCAACACCCACTCACATAGTGTGTGGAGAGTGTGTGCTTATCCGTGTGCGCGTCAATTTGTCTTTCTGTCCGTTTGTGCGCACATATCAAGAATCCCACACACCTACACTCTCACATGAATACACATTTATGAAAAAAGAAATTCGTAATCTATCAAATAATACTATTTATCTTATTATTTCTCATCCTTGACCCTAAGCCGAGAGCCGTGTCTATCGACCATCTTTCAAGGCCGCAAAACTTCCGTCTCTCCCACCTCCTCAGCTGCCTCTCTTCCCCATTCCACATCGTGAGACATAAATTCACTTCCGTAATAGCCCCAATGATATACCTTGTCAGCCATATTAGACGACGCACGTTAATTTCCGTGAATTAGCATTTGCAGACGATTACATATTTTTGTTCGGCTACTAATTCTTTAGTTTCTTTTTTTTTTTCTTTTCCCGTTTGTACTATTTTTTATTACTTCTTTATTTTCTTTTGTTTCTCATTTCTTTGACTCCGCCAAAAAGTAAATGAAATATTCCCCACTTTTAAAAAAAAAAAAAAAACGCAAGATTTGTCCACCAACATCTTTTGAAACGATTTTTAAAAAAATAACATAGTTGTTTTAGATTATTGTTTTTTTTCCTTTTTTTTATCTGATATACACAACAAATAACTTCTTTCATGCCTTCTTCATTCTACCCCCTTCCTTCCCTTTCTTCTATTAACTCCACCTCCTACTCTTCTCCCTCCTCCTATTTCCTCTTTACATTATTGCCTTTCTTACCATTATCACCAAGGAGGCACGGTGGAGTAATGGATAACGGCTTGGAATGAGGAATAGGTCCAGTCGAATCCATTGCATTCACTTACGTGCTAATACCTTTGGGAAGGTATGAATCCTCTTCTCCCCCCCCCTTCCAGCTATAGACCGGGTTCTATAGCCTTGGATGGCAACTGGTCTACCGAAGAAAGAAATGATAACTTACTGTGGGAAAAAAATCTGCCTCGTCAATCATGTATCAAAAGATACATGATCGCCTAATTCTGTATCACGCATGACACTGAACTGAATATTATCACCAATAGTTTCCATTGATTCGTTTTCTGCCACTTACCAACCCTTTGCAAGCCAGAATATATTTTAGATTATAAAGATTTTATTGGAGATAACAATGATTTAGTGATTTAAATCTTACTAATTAACCCAGAGATCGGGGATAAGCGGTGGATTCATACCTTCTCCAAGGATATTTGTGCGTAAGTGAATATAGCGGGCCCAACGGGAATTGGGACCCAGCTTTCCGATTAACAATTCCCGCACATTCAAGCTTACAGCACCTGGTTATCACCAACTGGGGTACCCGACGTTGCCTTGAAAAATAATTTAAGACATATTTAAATTATTGACGCAGAAATAAAATTTCTTTAACATATTTCTTTTAAGAAAATAAGTGAAAAATCAAACGATTATTTATATATAAAAACTGTTATTTGAAAAAATATATTCAGAGGCACATAAAAATGAACGCAGGAGTCCTTTAATTTGACTGCAGCTTTAGAGGCACAATATTAGTGTTTCTTCTACTGAGTGCCAATATTGCAAGGTTATTTGTTTTTTCCAACGCAAGAGCAACCATAATAAAACTGGCCGTTGGAAAAGCATGGAGTCAGCTTGAGACCAGCAAAATATGGCGTTAAATACCTTGTTGATGGTCATGGCAAAACTAAGCATCAATTGGAATTGAAGTTATTTGTATTCAAATCTAATAGTATTACGGATGAACACCCTCTCTTCTTGTACTTTTAACGGCATTCACCCGAGGTGGGCTGAGCCGGCTCCAATATTGGAGTTTCATGGGAATTTGGAATTCACAAGCAGTCCCCAACCCGCATGTATAGCACATGAGATTTGATTATAGTGGTGAAGGTTTCGTGCAGGACCATCCACACTTTTTGAAGGACTGATTACAGAGACCTGGTGCACTACGTGCCACAAGGTCCCCAAACGACCCTCCGATTCCTCAATCCAAGCCGCTATCCATTTCTCCACCGTGCCTCCACTACCCTCTTTTCTAGGAAACCAATTTAGAAAAGTTGTTTCAATGTTACGTGAGAGAAGCTGCTTGAAAGTGAGTCAAGATCTATTGCTCAAAATTTCATTCAAAACAACGAAAATGTGCAAAACTACTGTGTAATATAAATGTCCTATGGCGGTAAATACTTGACAGTTTCCCTCACAGATGAAGAGAAGACTGGAGGAAAGAATTGTAGCTCTACAGAAGGATGCTGAGAATACCATGAACGGAACGCGTAAGCATGTAAGCAACGGAGAAATCTAAAGAAAATGAAAACCAGAATAACACTTATACTCAGAATTAGAAAGAGTGCTGTAATTTCTTGGATACGGGGCTTGAGGGATTTCACACTCAACCGGACATACTGAAGGTAAGAGGTTAAAAGGGGAGGCAGCGGGCATCTACTGGATGCGTTGGTGTAAATGGATGGCGGAACAGGGTGCTGGAGGATGATAAAAAAAAAACTAAGAGATATAAAGGATAGAAAGTTTTGGAGAGCCATGAACGCCTATGTTCTGAAGGACACTTAGAAAAAGAAGTGAGGAGCTCAGATTTCTGAGAATCAGAGCGACAATGTAAACTTTTAATTGAAGCTTGTAAGAAAAGAACACAATGCTAGTCAAAATGTTGAGGAACTCCGCTGGGTTCTGAGCCGATTCCAAAGACCTTGGAACCGTGTTGAAAGTCTTGTACTGCCGATCGCCTTGAAGAATCTGTTGTAATAGCTTTGAGGTTATTTCTTGTTCCACAATTTTCCCTGTTCTTGGGACAAGTCCTGCAAAGTTTATAACCTTTCACTTTCTTTTCAGCTTCACGCTGGTCTTTTCCATTAGAAGGTCTTCTTTTCCTTGTTTATGATTTTCAGATCTCGTTTGAATGGGTTAGGTTAGTTTGGACACCAGAGACCAAGTGTTTGTTAATCGTTTGCTTTTTCTATGACAGGTTTTCGTTTTTGCTGATGACATATGTTCCCACGATTAAGCGCAAATCGTTTGCACAGTTTCTATTGTGCTACTGTTCCTATCCTATCGTGCCTATTTTTGTATTATTATTAGGATGATGATGCTATTTGTAATGGCAAATCTGAGATTGATATAATTAAAGTTATTAATCATGGCCATTATGTTGATAATGATAGTATGGACCGTCGCAGTCATAATGATAATAATATTAGTTTAAATAAATTAAGAAATATAATAATACGTATATTCGGCCTATTATCTTCATCTTTGTTGTTATCACAACGTTTCGGTCGTTGTGCCTCCTGGCCTTCATCAGGTGCATATAGATCCGGTTAACCTACAGGGAATTCCGAATTGAGTCTCCTTTATTTAATATTCGGACAATATCCTAGTAGAATAAAGCGTTCGTTCGTGAATTAATTGTGTTTTATTCCCTTGGCCGAGCAGTGTGTACTTGAACTCAATGAAAACAAGGCGAGCAATAACTGGGCAGTACTAAAACGAAAAGAAACAGGACGTAAAAGAAGAAAACAGGCATAAAATGGAAAGAAACTAAGAGAAGGGAGACACCAAAATAGAAGGTCACCAAAGCAGAGAGGAGAACAAGAGAGAAGGGAGACATTAAAAGTGAAGGAGACAGCAGAGTTTGTTTTTTTAAATCTGCTAATATTTTGTTGTCAAAACATTAACTTGAATAATAAAATCTGTAGATACATAAACATGCATATTATAAATAGCATGAGACTGATAGATGCTTATATATATATATATATATATATATATATATATATATATATATGAGAAATGCGGAGAAATTACAAGAATTTTACGTGTTTTTCAGGTTAGCGGGACTTCTGCCAAAAAGCGTTTAACAGATAATTAGACCGATAATATTCAATAAGTTCAAGTGAAGCTCATCAGCGCCAGATGATTTATCAAACATCTAGCCTTAATGACTATTTCGAAATGAAACTTTTTAGTTGGCTAATCAGATAAGTTACTTCATTTTTTTCTTAATTTATTGAAATATGCCATGATCTAAATTTTCTTATTTTAGGTAAATTTTGAATTTAGCTTAGGTTTCACAAATGATTGGTTAATCAGGGTAAACCCACAAGCCTCATTTTAATTCTGATCTTGTGTTTTGTCGTCTTCTCTTCTCTTTCGAAAAAAGAGGGAGGGTATTTTGGTTTTGAAATTAAATATAATCGCTTACTCACTAGTTATTTACCAACTTAGTACCGAAACACGAAAGGTATTGTGTAACGACTTTTAACATGTTTTTTTTTAATCTCCTATAATAAATAATATAAAGCTCTACTCTATATTGAGCCCTTTTTAAAATTAAATGCTACGGACAGTAGAAATATATTCCATTTGTTCTTACCTTATACCTGGATAGTTAGCTCCCTTTACGGTGGAGTACTATTTACATTTATTTTCTTATCTTATATATAAAGGGTGCTTCATTAAGACGGATAAATAAATCAATGTTATTGGTAAAAATGTATTTATTTCTCTATTGGATCGTGTTATTTAACACATAGCAATCATGTGTGAAAAATAATATCGCCTTAATTTCCGCTTAAACTTAATTCAAGGTTCAAGTTATTGGAACAGCCTTCATATATACAGTCCCATCCAAAAATACTTATTACCATAGTTTGTGGTAGCACGGATCCTGTGTCAGCAATGCGACGATAAACAGCAGCAAAGGTTGCATGACTCGACTGCCTCTGGTCTGGAAACACAATCTGATACAGTCGTACAGTCTCGCGTCCATTACCGTTCGCGTGGCCGTATGTAAAAATCATATTTCCCTGCTCTCGATATGTTTATCCTGCTACTGTTAAACGGAACACTTCTCAGTTAACTCACTACTATACACGTTAAACGTTGAAGACAAACTAGCCACAAATATAGATGAATGACAAATACAGCGCCATCTACCATAAACTTTCTTACGAACTTAAAAACGAAGTATTTGCGGACATATGTCTTTATGGAATTTTGTCCTTGTTTTGAGTGAGGGACCCACCCCCAAATTTTTTAAAATATATTTGATACACCATATATATATATATATATATATATATATATATATATATATATGGTATATTTACGCTGCAAGAAATTCTCCAACATGCTTTGTTAAATTCACGTCACAAGGTTTGTTTTATTTTTCATCAGATTTTTCCAATTTTTGTATAAGACGTTTTACATTTAGTTAAAAAATGTGGATAAACTGTACAATAGCAACAAAACAGACACTATTTTAAAGATTTTATATTTAATATATGTCAATAATAATAATGTATTTATGCATGAATTCAACTTTAATTAAATGTATTTTGTATGAATTCGATCTGTAGGATTAAAGTCCCTAGAATCAGATCCTTTCAATGTTGATGTTGTAGTGTCTTCCCTCTAATGAGTCTGTTATGGACTCTTCCACTTACTATAAAGTTAGTAGGAAAAGTAAGCCTAGGAAGAACAGTGATACAGTTTGTTCTATTGAGGCTGTTCGCAGTTCCTGTCTTGGGCAGAGAGGAACACGGACGAGGCTGTGCCGAAGGGCAGAGTCTCGTCCAGGGAGGTAGACAGACCCGAACCCGTTTATTCGGGTTCTACGGGGATTTTTGCCGAGCCTACGGGCTCGGATGACCCACGTTAAACTCGTCCTTGTGTTACATATATCCCTCGTGGGGGGGCGCTGTTAAATATTAACAGTGATAAAGTTTTTTTTTCTATTGAGGCTGTTCGCAGTTCCTGTCGAACTCTCTGTCTTGGGCAGAGAGGAACCTGGGCGGAGGTAGACAGACTCGAACCCGTTTATGCGGGTTCTACGGGGATTTTAGGCCGAGCCTATGGGCTCGGATGACCCACGTTAAAGTCGGATTGTGCCATATGTACCCTCGTGGCGGTGGGGGGGGGACTACCAAATATCAAAAGTGATATTAACTGAACACTGGTCAATCGACACACACGTCCAAGTCGTGTTGTATTTACTGTTCAATACGCTATTTATCTGCAACCTCTTGTTTCGTTATTTCTTAACCAATTACTTGGTTACAACAGTTGGTCGTGAGTTAATTCGAAAGTAGTAGTGTACCAAAGAAAGTTGGTTTTTTTTTGTTTTGTTTTTTTTCTTATTGCAAACAGTTTACAATTTGTGATAATGCGAGAACGGGATTGCATGACAGTTGTCTACTCTCTGTCCTGCTCACTCTGTGTTTGGTTATGCTGTTAAGTGTACTTTTAAAATATCGGCAGCCATGAAAGTGAATCGGATAGATGTGTTTCTTTCATTTCTCCTTAAAGCTTTTCATCGACTAAAAAACAATTTATTTCTTTGACAAATGTTTTAAATATCGTGCATCAAGCTGGGAATGATTTCTCTGGACTTTTGTCGAGATTTAATTTTTAGTATGTTATGTTAGTATGTCACACTAAAACTTTCCTTGAGGAATATTTTTTTTAAAAAAAACGAAAACGTGGGGAGCTCAGGCACAATCCAAGTCACTTTTTTATACAGTGGACAAAGCCTGCACGACTGAATTACGACACACTAAAATAAAAAATATGTTGATGTGTAACACACGAAAACCGATTTTCCACTACATGTTGTTGGTCATCAATTATTCTCCTTGTACTCTGTATAACAACCAACGTTCTATCTATTTATTATTTAACTTTCTTTTTATCTAATTTGTTAGAAGTGAACATTTCTTATTTCCGATCTTCTAATCTTCCAACCGCCTTTCTGGTCATTACAAAGCAACTCTGTTTAACCATAGCTTGGTCACACAGAACAGATGGAAATCAATTGATTTACACTACAGGCCAAGTACAAGTCACATTTTCATTTGTAGTTTTTTATGACCTCTCTATCTCTTTCTCTCTCGCTTTGTTTCTCCCTCTCACTCACTCACTCATCCTCTCTCTCTCTCTCTCTCTCTCTCTCTCTCTGTTTGTAACTCCCTCTTTCAGCCACTCCTTTTCTTTTCTCTTCTTTTCGTTTCGTTTCGTTTCTGATTTTTCAACAGCCCTCGTCAGCTTTAAGTAACTGTCCCAAAAAGGAGGTAAAAACAACAAAGACACCGTATCTCTTGTTAGGATTTCCTTTTGATCACAAATTGAACAAGAATACACTTTTTGAAAACTTACATATATATATATATATATATATATATATATACACAGACACATATATGTGAGTTTGTATGTATATATACAACGAATCCAATTAAACACAGGCATACATACTAATATATCACTCAGGAAACGTGTTCAATTACAGAGTTAAATACACACACACACACACACACACACATATATATATATATATATATATATATATATATATATATATATAATAATAATATATATATACTTGCTTAAAAGGAAACCTATCGGGCGGCATTTGAGCTAGCTCCTGTGGAGGCCGTTTGATTGGGTCTTCGTCAAAATAGGTAGGGAGGAGTCGATGCGATATTCAACAATAAACTACAAATGAACTCAAAATTAATCGCAGTTTTACATTAACATTTAAGCTTACCTTTTTAAAATCCAAAGATAATTCTGCTACCACTTAAAGACATTTTGATGTACGTAAGTCCTTGCTTTCCGTACAAAACAATTATTTTTACTTTATGGGTGATTTTCGCTGGATTTCGCAATTAATTTCGATTATTCCTAAATTTATTTCCAAGTTATAAAAATTATTATCGTAAAAATGACGTAAAAAATCGCCGATAACAACGGCAATAATGAAAAATTGGGAATCCAAAATTTTAGGATTTCGGGTCCAGATCCGGCCTGGAAGGTTTTTAATTTTGTTCGGGTCGGGCTGATTCCAAAATGGTATGATGTGTTGGGCTACGGCCTATAGAAATAAAGTTGAAAACACAGATAAATTTATTTGAAACACTGTAATTTTTTTTCATTTGAACATAAGCTATTGAAAGTTAGAGAGATGTGTCTCTTTAATTGATTTTATCAGTAGAAGCCAAGATGGTGAAATCCGAATACAATTGCAGTAATGAAAACCTGAAAAAAAGAACATAGACAGATAGATAGAACAAGAACGCCAGAGATACGAAGACTAACTTGGAAACAGATAACAAATTTTGATAGATAGATAGATAGATAGATAGATAGATAGATAGATAGATAGATAGATAGATAGATAGATAATGAACAGGCATACATAGATATAGATAGATAGATAGATAGATAGATAGATAGATTTAGATAGATAGATAGATAATGAACAGGCATACATAGATATAAATAGACTGTGATAGATAGATAGATAGATAGATAGATAGATAGATAGAAATAGACAAAACGAACGAAGATAGATAGATAGATAGATAGATAGATAGATAGATAGATAGATAGATAGTCACTTTGTTATATTTTCCTTGTTCTCTTCCTTTTAGGGGTCGGTTTTCTTTCTATCCCAGTATTTTTTTTTTAATATTTTCTATTTCCGTTTCTTTATTTCTCTCTTCAGTCATTTCCATTTTCTGCTTCTTCACCGATTATTTTCATTTTTCTTTCATGATTTACACTTTTATTTGTTTTCTTTTTAATCTTTTGCTTTTATTTATTATCTTTTTTCTTTCTTTTATTATATTTCTTTCTTTCATTTTTATTTTCATTCTTTTCTTTTCTTTTCTTTTTATTTATTTGGCCGGACCTTTCGGAACCCACACCCTCACTCCATCCAACAAATACGAAGAATGCATTTAAAGTAACAGATAGAAGAGAAAAAGAAAAGTATAAAAAGAAAACAAGATGAGGCAGGTAACCCAACTGTTTGAGATGGTAGCTTGTCTCTTTTTATGTATGTTCTCAATGCCATATCCGCTTGCCGGTTTTACATATCCTTTGTTTAAAAATAGGGCTTCGTTTAAATTATAAAGTCTACACATACAAGTCGGTATGCACCGCACACACATACCCGCGAGCCCGCATGCGTGAACAAGTGATATATATTTAAGTGATATATATACATCAAGGTAAATCTGTATAAGGATTTAATTTTGCAAGATGTATTTATAAACGAAGGTAAAAAAAAAACTATCGTTAAGTTTTCGAAATGTTTTAATTTAAAAACGCTCCGAAATATTCTTTAACTTAACTGTGTAAGTAAAAGTAAACTATGGAAGAGGCTAAGTGATGTAATTTAATGCCTAATAAACGAACATGAGTAAATGATGTTAACGCTGTCGTTGAATTTTTGGTTTCTTATTTGCTTTTTATATTTATTCTTTTTTAATGTAATTATTATTTATTATTTTATTTTAATTTGATAAATTATGTATTTATTTATTTTAGCTAGTAGAAGTTCTTGAGTTAACCGATTTTCAAATTTATTATGGTCAAGTATCTCGGGGGTCAGAAAGAAGTAATTTCTTTAAGAAAGGAGATATTAATAAAAATCCCTAGCATGAGTTAAAAATTTTTAGTATGAATCGATAGCCGCATTCTTTAAGTAGACGCATTATTTATTAAACAGTATATTTATTTTCGTCTTTCGGCCTGAATGTTCAAGAAATCTTATTAAAGATATATATATATATATATATATATATATATATATATATATATATATATATAGGATGTGGCACAAGGACGAAAGTGTGGAACACTCAGTGAGAATCTAACTCACTACTTAGTCGAAATTAATCTAGCAAAACATTATATATATATATATATATATATATATATATATATATATATATATATATGTGAAAAGTGTATATAAATATAAACAAATATATATATGTATAATTATATATATATTATATGCGCGGTACTTTATTAGAAAGCGCTCAATATCAGAGATAGAGCTAACATATTTGCTTGGATAGATGTGAGTTTGTGACCTGAGTTTGTCTGACGATCGCTAAAGCGTGAAACCCAGGGTCACAAACTCACATCTATTCAACCAAGTATATATATATATATATATATATATATATATATATATATATATATATATATATATATATATATATATATATATATATATATATATATATATATACGGAACTTCAACGTGTAGCGGGTAGTGATTTCGATCCTCACTGGACGCTCTACACGTTCGGCCTTGTGAAAAATCATTTAAAGGTGACTTCGGTCTGGAGTAATGGTTAGCAAGCTTGTCTTGCTGGAACAGTTACGACAGAATAGTGAGTTCGATCCTACTTGGGTCCCCATACTTTCGGCCAAGTGCCACGTCTAAGCTATGCTGAGAAAATCATTATCTCGCTAGATCAGTTTCAACTGAGTAGTGTTCGATCCTTATTGGATAATACTTAATTTTGTCTTTGTGTCACAATTAAGATATGTTTAGTAAATCCGTAGAAATACTTATATATATGTGTGTGTGTGTGTATTTAGGCAGCATTTTTTCATTAATGCATGTTTCATTAAATAATATAGGCAAGTCTTGTCTATTTTAAGTAAATTCCTTTCATATTGTCGAATAAGCTTTTTAGCATTATCACTGAAACATGAAAGAAAATCATTATGTTTATACATGTTTTTTATTGTTAATCCTGTCTAAGCTTTCGCCTTACATAAGCCATCATCAGAGATTACAAGTACATTACAATAAATTAAATAATAAATTATATAACAAAGATGGAAATTTTTTTGTTTTAGAATGGTTATTATGCGAACATTGCAACAATGATAGTTTGTTCTGTTTGCATTGAAGATTGATATGCAACGATAAGTTCGTGCATATGAAACGCATGAACCAAAATATCGCATTGAGGTTCATGACGTCACACATGACCACGTGAGAGTGAAAATGAAGAAAAGTGTTAAGTATGGAAAGCCGTTGATATAAACCAATAGCTCCTGTTATCAACTATAAGCATTTAAGTATATTTGTGGAGTTTTCATAGTTTATTTTGTTCAGGTTAGGTTTCAACTGTTTTATGTAAATAGTTTCAAGAATTTTTAGTTTTTTTTTTATTGTTTTCATGGTTAAGTATAATTGTATTTTCAACAAGGATTTTCCGGAATTGTGTATGTGGCCAGGCATATATATACTTAAATACTTCATGTTCATTGCATTCACTTACGCGCAAATATATTTGGGAAGGTTATGAATCCACCTCATTTCTCCTAGCTATAGGTTAAATAAATAACCTGCAAAAGGTAGATATGCCATAAAAACAAATCAATGGTTATTTAGTGCAAATGGCGGAAAAAATCAAAAACAAAATCGTTTTATTTATTCAAATTGGAAATAAAACACTTTAATTCATATTAATTACATAATTTACAATATTACTTAATTAAAACCAAGTCTAATCAATCCGATAAGGTCAAATTGGCAACTGATCTAAAAAATGACCTACAATCTGTTGTTAACAGGGTTAAGGAATGGCTTGTTAATTTTAATGCTTTCAAAACGGAACTGCTCTCTATCAATCATCTTAGAGACATTTTTCTGCTTTCTATCAGTATGGCTGATGCTAACCACCAGAAGATTGACATATTGAGCTTTCTCGGGCGAACGTTTTCCGCTAACAAGAAGTAAAAAAGATTATATTGAATCTATTGCTAGGTCTGCTGCTAGGAAAGTTGGTTCACTGTATCGTGCTAGACAATTTTCTCACCAGACACTATCTCACATATTTATAAGTTTACCATTCGTTCATGCTTTGAATAATGCTGCCACACATGGTCTGATTCTCCTGCTATATATTTAGAGATTCTGGATAAAATCCAAAGAATCTGCAAATCTATTTGTCCTGACCTGGCATCTCGGCTTCAGTCACTTACTAACCGCCGTAATGTAGCTTCCCTTTGCCTTTTCTATAAATACTTTCATATTAATTATTCTGATGAACTTTCCTCTTTGGTGCCTCGACTTTATGAATTTAAGCGCAGTACTCGATTTGCGGCAAGGTTTTATTATTTTACAGTTGAAATGACTAGATATAACCGTAAGTTCTATGCTAACAGTTTCTTCTATTGCACTTTTCACTTGTGGAACACTCTTCCTGCTTGTATCTTCCCAGTCAAATTCGATCTTCAAAAATTATCTTCTGTCTTTTTTGTTCTGTTATTATTCTCTCTCCTTAATAGTATTTTTTTTTTTTTTTTACATATTCTTTAATACTCAGTAACTCCTTGTATCTTAGTGGCTTTATTGCCGTGCTTGGGGTGAAAAAATTTTTTAAAAAGTATTAAACAAATTAAAATAAATTATGTACATGGCACAGTGGATAAAGGCGTTGGTTAGATCCAGTGGCAGGACCCAAAAAGTGTGAGTTCAATACCCGGTTAAGGCAGTGGAGAACTTTCAGCGGGAAATTAACAGGAGATAGCTGAACTGACACTCATTAGACATGGCACGTGGAACTAGAACAGTCTATTCCAGTGAGCGAAATAAAGGGTTCAGTTCGACATTCCAACCACCTGAAGAAGACCAAAGCATACAACGGCCGAAACGCTGTAATAAATATGTTGACAAAGATGAGGACAATAGTCCGAATAATGTAAATAATGTTAAAATAAATTATTTTACTTAAAAACACCATTTGTTTTCATGATGTGCATTTTCTGTGCAATACGTGAATGTTTTGCAGCATGCATACCTAATGAATACTTACCAAATGAGCTCAGGTATAAAAAAAAAAAAACAATGACTTTAAAAAGTGCAAGTCAAGTAAAGTTATTTTAGAGTTACTTCATAAACTGGGTTTCTTGCCAACTGTCGCAAACTTCTAAATTTATTTCCTGGTCATCCCTGCATTTTCACTTGAAAATTGAAAAAAAAGCTTCTGAAATTTGGACAGAATTCGATCATTTTTAAGACACACAATGGCTCAAGGATTGTTATCTTCAGTGACTCGTATTTCCATCGATTAAATACTTGGTGATTTACAACGAAAAAATATTTAGATGAGATAGAGAAATTTTCTATAAAAACATGTTTGGATTCATCTTTAAAGGAAATAATCATGTATTTCTCATTAAAAAAAAAACACTTATTCATTTCCACTTTTAATATTCTACTTCAGAGTCCGTCCCCTGTAAATGCATTTCTGATTTGACTATAGGAAATCCTTACGCATAATTTTATGATAGAAATACATTGAAAAATGAAGGGAGAAAGAAATTTCATATTTTTTATAGTCCCCAGCACACTAAATAATTATAGTTATAACAGCTTACTGTATTTTTGTTTGGTAAATAAATATAAATAAACTACTAGTCATTTAAGAAATCATTACAAATATTAAAATCAAACATAGGAAATCAATTGCAAAAATTATCTTCTGTTAAATTTTAAGTTAAATGTAAGACACCAGGTTAAAAGAAATGAGCCAGATAATTTATTAAATTTCCAAGCCCGATGGCGGTCGCTTTATTTCGAAAAATTCTACTGATAAAGGGAAATAATCCTGTTGGTCTTCATACAAGTAATCTTGGTGCATATTGAGCAAATAGTAAATGTAAATTCTTAATTCTTAAATGCTTAAATTTTTCTACTAAATATAATACCATAAAGTTATGTATACTAAATGTTATTAGAAAATTGTACTGAAACCGAGTACCATTGCTGAGTCAGTCGCCATTGACACACACACACACTCAATATATATATATATATATATATATATATATATATATATGGCTCAAACACTAATATTCCATGGTTATAATTTATTACATTGGAATCGTAATCACGATCCAATTCATCAAACTTAACGGTAGTGATTTATGCATCTGAAAATAATTCATATTTATCTGTATGTCACTCATTTAAACCGTTATTTAACTCCTCTCTTTAAAACTTCTCTCTGTTAAATTTTAATCCTCACCTTCACATTC